CTCCCCCAATCAGATGGTTCCCAACATGACTCCCTCCTGTTAGATGTTTCCCAACATGACCCCCTCCAGTTAAATGGTTCCCAACATGAACGCCCTGTTAGATGTTTCTGTCATGAATCACGTCCCATAGATTATATTTTCTGTCACCCTGATCACTCTTTAAAGTTTGCTATATCTCTTTTCTCTGAGTTTCATTTATTCTGTCCGCTCTGGTAATGTTTGTTTGTGTACGTGAGTTTTAGTTTGTCTTCTTTGCATGCTGGTTGAGGGTGATGTCACGGTTGTTTAGTTTTGTCTTCACTGCAGCAGCTGATTGAACTCAACTGGCTGCACCTGTCTCTCTCTCACCCTTTAAAAGCTGCACTCTTTCTCCTCTTCAGTGCCCGACTGCCCGGTAGTTGAAAACAGTTCACTGCAAGTAAATACATTGCGTTTATGATCCTTGTTTCCCCATAGCCTTTGTGTCCCCTTGTCATAGTTTACCGGTCTCCTTGTTCCTGTCCTGCTCCTGGTTCTTGTTCTCCCCTCTTGGCTTGACCTCCTGGCTCATGGACCCACGACTCACCTGGACATCGTCTCTCGCTCGACCCTTTGGATTATTACGTCTTCTGCTTTCGGTTCTGACCTTCGCCTGCACGACAACGCCTCCTCGTCTTCTTCTCCGGTACCTCCTGTCTTCTGCTCTCCAGTTTTGGACCCTGGCTTGTGTGACCACGTCTTTTCTCTCAACGGACTCGCCACCCACCTGTTGCTGCGGCCGGTTGCAGCCCCTCACCGGACTCTGCCTCTCCTGCAGCAATCCGGATCAGTTTGGACCTCGTCCGTCTCCAGAACCTTCAAGCTCATCTGAGACGGTTAGTCCTCCTCATTCTGACTTTTGCTCTCCATTATCTCCTGCACGACCACTAACCGATCTCTGTCCCAGACTCATTCCTGATCCGGAACCGGTTCAATCTGCTATACTTCACCTTGAAAATAAATATAATTTAATTTAGACTTTTTTGTGTGGTGATTTTGGTCCAGCCGTTAAGTGGTTAGTTACAGTTTCCCAACATGGCACTCCAGTTAGATGGTTCCCTACATGACCCCCCTATCAGATGGTTCCCTACATGACCCCCCTATCCAATGGTTCCCCTACATGACCCCCCAATCAGATGGTTCCCAACATGGCCCCTTCCAGTTAGATGGTTCCCAACATGGCCCCTTCCAGTTAGATGGTTCCCAACATGGCCCCTTCCAGTGAGATGGTTCCCAACATGGCCCCCTCCAGTGAGATGGTTCCTAGCATGACCCCACAGGTCAGAAGCCACTCCCCACCCATGCACCCTCCCCTGTCAGATGTTTCCTCTGAAGAGGAACGGAAGAAGATCGACAGAGCGAATTAAACAAACCTGAGACGGAGGACAGACTCTGAACGGTTCTTTAGGACGGGACGTAGATCTTCTGGACAGATTTCTGTGAAACTCAGATCAGTGAGTGTTTGAACACAGCTCGCATCTAATCAGACTGGGCATCGACAAATTCAGCTATAACTCGGTCGTATTAAAAGTACTGAACCAGGACTTGGTCTGGTAGTAGCTGGGAGTCGTCCCCAACACATGCTCTGAGCACAGTTAACTCCTTTGAGGTTCTGGACTGTTCTGGGTGAGGTTGAATACTTTAGTTGGACCTGAAGGCCGTTCTGGAGGATTATGCTGTTTGTTTTTTTTGGTCTGATTTCTGAAATTTATTTTATCTCCTGATTGACCTGAAAACATGAGACAGTGCAGGGGGGATGAGAATGGAGGGGTTTCTGAGTGGATGTGGGGATCTGGGTGACTCAGGACGGGGGATGGGGGGTTCTCAGAGTATGATTTGATCTCGTAAGGCTCACTTAAGTGGTTGCTTTACCTCTCGTGTAGAGCTGGTGATCGGAGCCGGGTCAGCGCCGGGTTGAGGTGTTGTTCATTATTTTTCCGCCTGTCGGATCTCATGAGCTGCCGCGGGAGACGATGGCCCGTTGGGCGGCCGGGGAGCAAAGGGCCCGCCGGCGGGGGTACGTCAAACACACTCAAAGCCTCTCGCCTCGGCCGGGGGAGGATTATGATCAACAAAGCATGTCCT